TGTTTGTTCTCCATGTGGTGAAGCAGTTTTGAAGGTTTCATCATGTCGTTGGATAGCTGGTTGCCAAATATTATACAAAGCAGGGTTGGAGAATGTGAATCACCTGTTGCGATGAACCTGTAATATTTTTTAATTTTTTTTTTTTTTGAGACAGAATCTTGCTTTGTTGGCCAGGCTAGAGTGAGTGCTATGGCGTCAGCCTAGCTCACAGCAACCTCAAACTCCTGGGCTCAAGCAATCCTGCTGCCTCAGCCTCCCGAGTAGCTGGGACTACGGGCATGCGCCACCATGCCCAGCTTATTTTCTATATATATTAGTTGGCCAATTAATTTATTTCTATTTATAGTAGAGACGGGGGTCTCGCTCTTGCTCAGGCTGGTTTCGAACTCCTGACCTCGAGCAATCCGCCCGCCTCGGCCTCCCAGAGAGCTAGGATTACAGGCGTAAGCCACCACGCCCGCCTGAACCTGTAATTTAAGTAGGACTCTTGGTATTTTCTTTTAAATGCAGCTTTCATTTTGTCAGCAGTCTTAGAGTCTTCTGCTGTCTCATCACTGGGTCTTTCCCCCTTTTCAAAGAAGCTCTCCAGCAACGTTTGTTTTTTACTCATTTTTGCTAGAGTTAGCTTGTGGGCTTACCAAAACTGTGACTGAGACAAAGTGCACAGTGCAGGAAAGAGGCATGGGCAGAACTGGTAAATAAAATAATGGGTGGGCCACTCATGGACTAAAATAAGTGTTGAATTCTGACTTACAGCCTGCCACCAGATGCAGCTGTACAATTGCAGTACATCAACTCCCTTGCCACTATAAAGCCTGCCACCAGATGCAGCTTAATTGTCACTTGTCACTCACTGATAGGGTTTTTATATGAGTCTGCAAGCAATTGATTTATTATGGTCTCTGTGCAGTCAAACCTCTCTGCTAATGATAATCTGTATTTGCAGCCACTTCCCAGTGCTAGCATCGTGGCCTCAGCTCTACCTCACATCATCAGGCATTAGATTCTCATAAGGAACACACAACCTACTGTGTTTCCCCAAAAATAAGACTGTGTAGAGATGGGGTCTCACTCTTGCTTAGGCTGGTCTTGAACTCCTGGCCTCAAGCAATTCTCCCACCTCAGCCTCCCAGAGTGCTAAAATTACAGGCATGAGCTACCACACCTCGCCTGTTTTTTGTCTTCTTTTCAATGAGGAAAAATAACCTCTTCTCCCAACATGTGTCTATCCCTTGCCACTTCTAACCAGAGGTCTTCACTCCTTCACCTCTTCCTCCCAAATCTCATACAAATTTTTCTTGTTCACCAACTGTAACATGGAACCATACAAAGAAATGAATCCTGGGAAATTAATTCCAGTTTGGCTAAATGGAAAAAGTTTGAAACAACCATAGATCATTCTGACCATTGCAACTTCATTGCATTTTTCTCTCCCTTGGGCTGCAAAAGAACACTCTCTTTAGGTTTTTGTTTGATTGCTTTCCCTCAACTTTTGTTGCTAGCCATCTTCTTCCCAAACTTTGAATGTTTGGTCCTCAGCCATTTTTGCTTCTTATTCTACAAACTCTCTCTAAGTAGTTTCATCCACTTTTATATTTTCAACTATTATCCATTATGCTAATGAGTTTTAATTCAATTTTCAGTCCAAACCTCTCTTAGAAACTTCAGAGGAAACTTCTAGCTGCCTCCTAGACATCTCCATTTGTCTTTCCTCAAGCACTTTGTTTGTAATATGTCCAAAACCAAACTTATTACCATTTCCTCCTCTTCTAATCTCAATGAGGACTGCCAGACAACTTCCCTGGGTTGAGGGAGTCCTCAGTGATCCTCTCCCTGCTTAACTCAACTAGTTCCATATTTCTTATGAAGGTCTTTTACTCAAGATGCCATTTCTTGCACCAATTTTTATATTAAGATTCTTTCCTTCCTAGAACAAAAAAAAAAAAAGAAGAAAAGAATAATTTTAAAATGTAAGATGTTTTAAATATATTTTAAAATTATGAAAAAAAAGATTTTTAGTTTCAAAAAAGAATTCATCTTGAGCTAATCTAATCATAGTAGTGATAACATTTAGTGGATCTGTACTAGAGCCTGGCATACCATAGGCACTTAATAATACAAGGGAGTGAACATTTAGTTTGCTGGTGCTGTTTTTCTCTCCATTTGGTTATCCATAGGTTGGAACTTGTCTTGCTCTTGTTGAACTTTACCAAACTACAAGCAGTAACCAAGACACTTTGCCCTCAGTTAGCACATAGTCTGAATCCTTAGCAGCAAGCAGATTACTTAACCAATTGCTTACTACAGCATAATGTGGATTGCCAAGAAATTTCCCATCCTGTGTTGAGGGTATCCTCATTGTTCCTCTCTCTGCTTGACTCAACTAGTTCCATATTTGTTCTGAAGGTTTTTCACTCAAGACACTACTTCTGGATAATAATTTCTGTATTAATTATAACTCTTTTAGTTTCAAATGAAAGAATTTATCTTGAGCTATTAAAATAAATAGTAATAGTAACACTTAGTGAATGTTTATTCTGTACCAGTGCCTGGCACATGATAAGTACTTAATCTTTGTTGAATAAATGCCAGACATTGCACTAAATACTGTAAATGCATTATCTAATCCTCACAAAAAGCCTATATCAATATTTTTTTTCCTTTTCACAGAAGAGAAACTGTGGCACAGAGATTTAGAAACTACCTAGGACACACAACTAGTAAATGTTGAAACTAGGATTTGAACCTAGGCCATGTAATTTTTTGTTACCTTATAAGAAAAAAAAAAGAAAGAAAAGAATTTATTTTAACAGGGCTGTCATAGAACTAAGGGCAGAAATTCAGGTGGTTTGAAGAATGGGCTGAAATGAGCTAGAAAGCTGTTGGGAGCCCAGGCCATATTCTTCCTCTGAGTCTCCTTCCTGCTTTCCAGCTAGTTGTGGTACCCTTGATGGCAAAGGGAAAATACTGGCAAAATGGGGTAATAAATCATTTCACTGGTCCCAACTTCTGACCTGCTTTCCCAGTACTTCCCCCACCTCCCTTTGTTTCCTGGGTCATTCCATTTCTTTGGACCTCAATTTCTTTATCTATAGAATGAGAAATTTTTACCAGAGGATTCCTCAGGTCTTTTCCACCTCGAAAATTCTGTGATCCTAAGTGAACCTTCTAGGGCAGAAGCACATTAATAAATGGAGTTCAACATGTGGGTTTGGGGGGGAGAACGGGGAAGGGTTCTAAGGAAAAAAGGGCAGAATAAAGGTTTGGGTAGAGCCTCAGTGTTGAATTATTGTTTAGAGCTGGTGCCCAGTAAAGGCCTATGAGGAGGTAGAAATGGGGAATGGAAAATTCTTCTAACCCTGACCAGACCAGATTATTTTGAATGGAATCTCTCTGATCCATGAGCATTTCTGTGTGTAGAGGGAGTAGCCCCCTCACATAGTGATTTAATCTGGTTTATCTCTTCTCAGCACAGAATTTTCTGCAGAGTTTTCACCTAGGGCACACAGAGAGAGAGCCAAAGGGAAAATTCAAACATCTGAATGGCCTCAGGAGCAAGTCACATTTCTCTAGTCTGTTTCCTTATCCATCAGTTTGCAAGGTTTGGTCTACGTGATGTCAGGGTACTGCCCAGCTCTTAACATTTTGTGGTTCTGGATGGTGCATCTAAAGCAGCTCTCCATCCTGAATTCTCCATCCTTGGATCAAACCTCTGTCTTCATTTTCCTCTCTGTTTATACTTAGCTGCTCAGTTTCTTTATTCTAAGCTCCCTTTCTTCCTCAATTTCCTCAAATCCTACTTGCTCCTTATTAAATATGAACTGTCTGATTTTAAATCATAAGTGTGGTTTATTATATGTCAAACAAGAAGCAGAACAATTCATCAAAGTATGTGCCTAAACTTTGACACAGTTTTGCCATCTTATCGGTAGCTTGTTTATGCCGGCAGCGAAGAAGCCTGGAGAGCTAATGGTGATGAAATCGCGAAAGGTGTTTTCCATGGCTTGTTGAGAATTGAACATGTTTCCTTGCAAGAAGTGCTCCAAAGCCTGGAAGAAGTAGTAGTCAGTGCAAGGTCTGGTGAATATGGTGGATGACAGAGAGTTTCCGAGTCCAGCCTTTGTAGTTTGAGCAGTGTTGTTTGTGCAACATGTGGTCGAGTGTTGTCTTGCAAGAGGATTAGCCTGTCTCTATTGATCAATATCGGCTGCTTAATCACAAGCATCCTCATCATTTTGTCCAACTGGTTGCAGTAGACACGCACTGTAATTGATTGACCAGGTTTCATGAAGCTGTAGTGGATAATACCAGTACTGGGCCACTAGACAGACACCATTAGCTTTTTTTGATGAATATTCAGTTTGGGACTGTGTTTCAGCACCTCATTTTTATCCAACCATTGTGCTGAATGCTTCTGATTGTTGAAAAGAGTCCATTTTTCATCACATGTAAAAATACAGTGTAGAAATGGTTCGCCTTTATGTTGTGACAGCAAAGGAAGGCAAGCTTCAAGATGATTTCTCTTGCTCATTTAATTCATGCAGAACCCATCTATCCAGCTTCTCTACCTTGCCAATTTGTTTCAAATGGTCCAATATTGCTGGAATAGTAATGTCAAACATAGTTGCTAATTTATGTATAGGTTGAGATGGATTCACTTCCACTACAGCTTTCAGCGCATCATTATCTACCTTGGTCTCAGGTTGCCCACGTAACTCATATTTAAGATTAAAATCATCAGAATGGAACTTCTCAAACTATAGATGTACTGTTGTTCATTAGCCACATCCTTCTGAAACACTTCGTTGATATTTCGAGCTGTCTGCAGTGCATTGGTTCCACGACGGAACACATATTCAAAAATAGCACAAATTTTTTACTTATCTATGGTTTCACAAAAATTGCTCTAAAAAAATGTGAAAGATAATCACAAGCCAAACCATGCATTTGAAAGACTAAGGATGTGCCTTCACGATAAAAATAAAACAAGAAGTGTCAAAGTGAAATATCAGAGATATCAACTGTCAAACTTAGTACTTGAAGAAATTGGACATTTCATACTTAATAATCTAATAGCTCCTTTATATGCTCTTTGTTTCCTTATATTTTTCTGCAGACCCCCAGATTACACCCCTGGTCTCTAGTTCTCCGTCTCCATATCTACTTACTCCTCTGTGCATAACTGGCTCTTGGCTCAAACTATCTCCTTGGGTTCCCCCAAGGGCCCCCCTGGGATACCCTATCATTGGTCCCTCTCACAGAAGCACACGCTCCTCCAGAGCCAAAGGATCAGGTATTCAGTGGCTCAGGTGACAAACCTGCTGTCAGGTTACAGATATTGTTTCCTGAAAGACCAACTACAGTGTCAGTGGAGCCTCAAGCTGCCTGCAGTGCCCGCCCTCACCTGGCTATCCCACACAAGGTGACAATAACCAGAACTCACCTCTGATACCAGTGTTCACCTGGAAACATGGCTCTGAGCCTCTGGCCCCTGCTGCTGCTGCTTCTGCTGCTGATGTCCTGTGCAGGTGAGAGGAAGAGTGAGCAGGGCTGGGGATGAGGGGAGGCTTGCTGGAAAAAGACTTAAGAACATGGAGGTTAACCAGTTAGATAAAAGATAAAGGGACAGAGAAGAGGGGCAGAGAGTGGTGCTAAGGGAAAAAATGAGGGTAAAGAAAGCAGACAGAACAAGATTTACTGTAGGCTAGTAAGAGGAGCTCAGCTCACCATCCTTTCACCTCATCTTTAGATCCAGGCAGGGAATTATGCTTAGGGGCAGGGCTGAGTTTGGGTTCTAGGTTCCTCCCCTTTAGTGACCTCTGATTTCTCTCTTTACAGTGACTCTGGCCTCTACTGATCCTCAGTCCCTGGACCCTGGTCTCTCCTTCCTAAAGTCATTGCTCTCCACTTTGGAACAGGCTCCCCAGGGCTCCCACAGCCGCTCACGGTTCTCTGCATTCCTGGCCAATGTTTCTTCTTCCTTTGAGCCTGGGAGAATGGGGGAAGGACCGGTGGGAGAGCCCCCACCTCTCCAGCCCCCTGCCCTCCGGCTTCATGATTTTCTAGTGACGCTGAGAGGCAGCCCAGACTGGGAGCCAATGTTAGGGCTGCTGGGGGATGTGTTGGCACTGCTGGGACAGGAGCAGACTCCCCGGGACTTCCTGGTGCACCAGGCAGGTGTGCTGGGTGGACTTGTGGAGGTGCTGCTGGGAGCCTTAGTTCCTGGGGGGCCCCCTGCCCCTACCCGGCCCCCGTGCATCCGTGATGGGCCCTCTGACTGTGTCCTGGCTGCTGACTGGCTGCCTTCTCTGCTGCTGCTGTTAGAGGGCACACGCTGGCAGGCACTGGTGCAGGTGCAGCCCAGTGTGGACCCTACAAATGCAACAGGAATCAATGGGAGGGAGCCAGCCCCTCAGTTGTTGCAGGGTCTGCTGGGCTTGCTCACCCCAACAGGGGAGCCAGGCTCTGAGGAGGCTCTTTGGGGCGGTCTGCTACGCACAGTGGGGGCCCCCCTCTATGCTGCCTTTCAGGAGGGGCTGCTCCGTGTCACTCACTCCCTGCAGGATGAGGTCTTTTCCATTCTGGGGCAGCCAGAGCCTGATGCCAATGGGCAGTGCCAGGGAGGTGAGTGCTGCCAGGGCCGGGGCTGGGATGTGGCAGGGCAAGAAGGATGAGATTGGGGTAGTTCTCTTCCTTACTCTTTCCCTCCTAGGTAACCTTCAACAGCTGCTCTTATGGTAAGTAAGAGGAGACCAGTTCTGAGCAATTGGGCCTGGGAAATCTGGAGGTGGAGAGCTAGAGGCATCAGCCTCCAGAGTTGAAGAAAAAACTGATGGGAGGAGTGTGGTTTAATGGTTTTGGAGTGTGACTGTTGGGTTGGTGTCCTGGCTCCACCTCTTCTTAGCCAGTTGAACTTGGGCTGGTTACATACTCTTTCCATGCCTCAGTTTCCATATTTGTAAAATAAGGATGATAATAGTTAGTGCAGAGTTGTTGTACGTGATTAAATGAGTTGATGCTTTATGTGTAAACTGCTTAGAACAGTGCCTGGCACATAGTGTTTAATAAATGTTAGCTAATAAAGGTGGGGTATGGAAAATGAGAGCAAGACTAGATTCCTCCACCCCCTTTCTATTTCAGTACAAAAATGCCAGAGCACAGTTAGACATATTCATAGTCTGCTGAGCAGACTTCCTGATATGAGGCCAACCGAGAGTTGTATTTAAGCTACCTAAAAGCATATGCAGAAAGGAGGCAGGAGGGAGCCAGGTAGACAGAAGGGACTCCAACTGGGGATGCTCCTGGGTGATTTTGTGCTGTGATACGACAGCTCTCTCCCATTTCCCCCATTCCAGCATTTCAACCAGTAATGCCTATGCTCTCAGGGACCTCACTTTTGGAAAAGCCAAGGGGCTTGCCATGCCCCTTGCAGGGCTCTGGGCCAGGGTCAGAACCTTTAACTGGAGGAAATGTGAACTGACCAGATCCTGCCTGCTCCTCCCTCTGTACCCAGGGGCGTCCGACACAACCTTTCCTGGGATGTCCAGGCGCTGGGCTTTCTGTCTGGATCGCCACCCCCACCCCCTGCCCTCCTCCACTGCCTCAGCACGGGTGTGCCTCTGCCCAGAGCTTCTCAGCCCTCAGCCCACATCAGCCCTCGCCATCGGCGAGCCATCTCTCTGGAGGCCCTCTGCGAGAATCATTCAGGGCCAGCTCCGCCCTACAGCATTTCCAACTTCTCCATCCACTTGCTCTGCCAGCATGTCAAGCCCACCACCCCGCAGCCCCCTCCCAGCACTGCTGCCATCTGCCAGACAGCTGTGTGGTATGCAGTCTCATGGGCACCGGGTGCCCAAGGCTGGCTACAGGCCTGCCATGACCAATTTCCTGATCAGTTTCTGGTTGCGATCTGTAGCAACCTCTCCTTTTCAGCCCTGTCTGGCCCCAACCGCCGCCTGGTAAAGCAGCTCTGTGCTGGCCTGCTTCCACCCCCCACCAGCTGCCCTGGAGGCCTGCCCCCTGTTCCCCTCACCCCAGAGATCTTCTGGGGCTGCTTCTTGGAGAATGAGACCCTGTGGGCTGAGCAGCTGTGTGGGGAGATGGGTCTGCAGGCTGTGCCCCCCAGCAACCAGGCTTGGGTTCAGCATGTGTGCCAGGGACCCACCCCGGATGTCACTGCCTCCCCACCCTGCCACATTGGACCCTGTGGGGAACGCTGCCCCAACGGGGGCAGCTTTCTGGTGATGGTCTGTGCCAATGACACCATGTATGAGGCTCTGGTTCCCTTCTGGCCTTGGCTAGCAGGCCAGTGCAGGATAAGCCGTGGGGGCAATGACACTTGCTTCCTAGAAGGGCTGCTGGGCCCCCTTCTGCCCTCTCTGCCCCCACTGGGACCATCCCCACTCTGTCTGGCTCCTGGCCCCTTCCTGCTCGGCATGCTATCCCAGTTGCCACGCTGTCAGTCCTCTGTGCCAGCCCTTGCCCACCCCACACGCCTACACTATCTCCTGCGCCTGCTGACCTTCCTCCTAGGTCCAGGGGCTGGAGGGGCCGAGGCCCAGGGGATGCTGGGTCAGGCCCTGCTACTCTCCAGTCTCCCAGACAACTGCTCCTTCTGGGATGCCTTCCGCCCAGAGGGCCGGCGCAGTCTACTACGGACAATCGGGGAGTACCTGGTACAGGAGGAACAGCCAACGCCATCAGGCTTTGAACCCACTGTCAGCCCCAGCTCTGCTATAAGCAAGATGGAGCTGCTGGCCTGCTTCAGTGTGAGTGACCTACCAGGGTGAAAGCTCCTGGACCAGAGGGAAGGGCCTGCAGGGCAATTCCTCTAATACTGAGAGGCAGTAGGATAGTGTAGTGGTTTAAGCACACACTCTAGAGTCAGACAGGCTGGCGTTCCTATCTTAGTTCTGTGACCAACCTTGGACAAGTTATTTAACCTCTGTGAGCAATGTTTTTCTCTTCTCGTCTATAAATGGGGAATAATAATGGTATCATCCTTTTAGTCTGGTTGTAAGGATTACATGAGATTAATACATGCTGTGGGCTTAGCATAAAAATGCAATAAATGTTATCTCATTATTCTTTTGGACTCTTTGACTCTCCCATTTCTGTTCAAGAAAGGAAAGGACTCCAGTTAGAGGGCCCTAATTCTCTTTCTAGAGAGTGAGAATTAGAGGCTGGCAGAATACAGGAAAATAAGGCAGGAATGAGAAGATTCAGGGAGACTATGTATCAGAAGACTTTGTGTCTAGGTTCAACTATTCCACAAATTAGTGTGATCTTAGGCACGTAATTTAGATTTTTTTGGGCTTCAGTTTCTTCTCTGTAAAGGGGCTAGAGTCTAGCAGCTAGAATATTCATTGAGTGCCTGTTATGTGCAAGGCACTTTGCTGGGTTCTATAGGATATTTAAAGATTCCATACTCCAGCTGGGTGCAGTGGCTCATGCCTGTAATCCTAAAACTCTGAAAGGCTGAGGAGGGACAACCGTTTGAGGTAAGGGGTTCGAGACCAGGCTGAGCAAGAACAAGACCCTGTCTCTACTAAAAATAGAAAAAATTAGTGGGTTGTGGTGGTACATATCTGTAGTCTCAGCTACTTGGGAGGCTGAGGTGGGAGGATCACTTGAGTCCAGGAATCTGTGGTTGCTGTGAGCTAGGCTGATGCCTCTACAGTCTAGCTGGGGCAGAGTAAGGCTCTGTTTCTAAAAAAAAATAAAAAAAATAAATTCCTTTCTCCATGTTAAGGCCTCCCTTTTTCAAGCCTTGGGCCCAGTAAAATGGAATTAGATAGACATAGTATTTGTAGCTCTACACATATTTATTGAGCCAACTATGGACCTGGCATGGGAAGGAATACAGGAGAAGTTAGAGACATGGTCCCTGACCTAAGGCACTTGATATTTGAAGAGACATGCATACTAGCTTCAGATGAAGGACAAGCATCGAGCAAGCAGAGTTGGAATGCCTGGGGCAGCTGCAGGAGGGACAGAGGAGACAGCTCTCTTGGCATCTTGTCTTTCTGCTCACCAGCCTGTGCTATGGGATCTGCTCCAGAGGGAGAAGAGTGTTTGGGCCCTGCAGATTCTAGTGCAGGTAACAGGTGGAGGGCACATGGGTGGGCTGAGTGACAGCCATGGCCTGAGGTCCCTGCCCAGGGAGGAGGCCATACCCATGATGACCTCCTATTCCCAGGCATACTTGCACATGCCCCCAGAAAACCTCCAGCAGCTGGTGCTTTCAGCAGAGAGGGAGGCTGCGCAGAGCTTCCTGACACTCATGCACCGTTCCTGGGGCCAGCTGCAGGTGGGCATGGAAGGAGAGCAGAGCAACCCTGGAGGGGGAATCTAGGGATCAAGGGCACCTGGGACCTAGTGTTCAGAGGGCTTGCCTTAGTGGGAGGGGGAACTCCAGAGGGGAGATGGCAAGGATACTGAGTGTCCCCAGAGCCAGAATCCATTCCTGTGCCCCTACAGGTACCACCATCCGAGGAGCAGGCCTTGGGTCGCCTGACAGCCCTGCTGCTCCAGCGGTACCCACGCCTTACCTCACAGCTCTTCATTGACCTGTCACCACTCATCCCCTTTTTGGCTGTCTCTGACCTGATGCGCTTCCCACCATCCCTGTTGGCCAATGACAGCGTGTAAGGTTCCCATGCCATCTCTACTGTTCCTGTCAGGGCCAGACCAACCCCATCCTCCCTGGAGCAGGCCCTTCCAGAGCTGTTTTTTTTTTTTTTGAGACAGAGTCTCACTTTGTTGCCCAGGCTAGAGTGAGTGCCGTGGCGTCAGCCTAGCTCACAGCAACCTCAGACTCCTGGGCTTAAGCGATCCTCCTGCCTCGGCCTTCCAAGTAGCTGGGACTACAGGCATGAGTCACCATGCCTGGCAAATTTTTTCTACGTATTTTTTAGTTGGCCAATTAATTTCTTTCTATTTATAGTAGAGACGGGATCTCACTATTGCTCAGGCTGGTTTCGAACTCCTGACCTCGAGCAATCCGCCCACCTCGGCCTCCCAGAGTGCTAGGATTACAGGCGTGAGCCACCACGCCCGGCCCAGAGCTCTTTTTTATTAAAAAAGGGAGAGTCTCCTTCCTGTCCATGACACCAGGGCTACAGGGGGCCAGGGGACAATAGCTTGGAAAAAGGCAAAGGGTTGAGACCCTTTACTCTGTCCAGGCTGGCTGCCATACGGGATTATAGCCCAGGAATGAGGCCTGAACAGAAGGAGGCTCTGGCAAAGCGACTGCTGGCTCCTGAACTGTTTGGGGAAGTACCTGCCTGGCCCCAGGAGCTGCTGTGGGCAGTGCTACCCCTGCTGCCCCACCTCCCTCTGGAGAACTTTCTGCAGCTCAGCCCTCACCAGGTATGAAAATCATCCTCTTTACTTGACTGGCCCATCTTCTGCTAGGTGGGACAGGAGTCAGTGGCACGTCTTCTAGTGGGCCCCTCCTGCAAGTGTGCCACAGTGACCCCAACACAAGCAGACCATCCTCATCTCAGATCCAGGCCCTGGAGGATAGCTGGCCAGCAGCAGGTCTTGGGCCAGGGCATGCCCGACATGTGCTGCGCAGCCTGGTGAACCAGAGTGTCCAGGATGGCGAGGAGCAGGTACGCAGGTGAGTGGTTATGCGATCAGTGACCAAGGCCAGAGTGGGAGAGGTAGAGAGAGGCTGGTACAGCTGCTATGGTGGGTTGGTGTCCTAGGAAGGGAAGGGGAAGAGAGTAGGCAGTGGCCCCAGAGTGCAGGGCTCCAGGAGAGAGGCCTCTCTATGGTGCCCATGTTTCTTAGCTTAGTGGTCAGAGTGCCTACCCCATGTACTCACCTAGTCCCTGCCTCAGTGACCACACGAAGGCCAGCTTCATGCCCTCCTCAGGCTTGGGCCCCTCGCCTGTTTCCTGAGCCCCGAGGAGCTGCAGAGCCTGGTGCCCTTGAGTGATCCGATGGGGCCGGTAGAACGAGGGCTGCTAGAATGTGCAGCCAACGGGACCCTCAGCCCAGAAGGACGGGTGAGCCCCTTGGCACAGACCTACAAGACTCCAGGACCCCCCCCCACCGGGTCTGTGTGTATGGCTTGCACAATTGTATCACCCAAGCTCAAGCACAGTGGTGCCAGCTCCTCAACCCCCTCTGCCACCTCCATCCCTTACTCTGTGTCCATTCTTTCCACCTCTTCCTGGCCCTACTCCATCAGGTCTAAAGCACCCCAAACATACCCTTTGCCACCCTGAACCCAGTCTACTCCAGCTCCATCCCTGCTTCCAAGCCCCAGCCCAAGCCCTGGGAAATCCAGATGTGGGATTAGAGAAGAGGTTCAAGATTCATCTGTCTTTTCTCTCTAGTCCCAAACCTTCTCTGGTTACAGGTGGCATATGAACTTCTGGGGGTGTTGCGCTCATCTGGAGGAGCTGTGCTGAGTCCCCGGGATCTGCGCGTCTGGGCCCCTCTCTTCCCGCAGCTGGGCCTCCGTTTCCTGCAGGAGCTGTCAGAGCCCCAGCTCAGAGCCATGCTTCCCGCCCTGCAGGGAACCAGTGTCACACCTGCTCAGGTGGGCCCATCTCACTCCCTGGCATCCACCTGCTACCCTCTGGAGCCCCAGTCAAGAGAATCACATTCTGGGATACGATCAGCCCCTCCTTTCCCTGGGTGAGCACTAGAGGTGAACTCTGTCCCAAGGAGGATCCCCTCATACCCCTTCCTTAGATCAAGAAGGAGCTTGAGTTACTGGGGATGATTACTGGGAATGGTTAAGAGGGAGCTGGAAGTTTTGGAGGGCAGGCCTTAGAACCTGGCTGCTGGGACCTGAGAGCTGTTGTTCCCTGTCCCATGGCAACACAGGCTGCCCTGCTGCTTGGACGGCTCCTCCCTAGACACGATGTAAGTAGCAGCAACTTCCCAACATCCCCCTAGAGGTCCCTATCCCCCCCTTACCCTGGCTCCTTCATCTGCCTCGTCCTCCCTCTTGGCTCCCCTCATACCTGCTGCCCCACCGCTCTGTGATTGTTGTCTTCTCTACCACCCTGCCCTTCTGCTTCAGGCCTCTTGTCTCTCTTGCCCTTCAGCTGTCCTTGGAGGAACTCTGCTCCTTGCACCTTCTGCTGCCAGGCCTCAGCCCCCAGACACTCCAGGCCATCCCTAGGCGAGTTCTGTTTGGGGCCTGTTCCTGTCTGGCCCCTGAACTGTCACGCCTGTCAGCCTGCCAGACTGCAGCGCTGCTTCAGACCTTCCGGGTATGAGAGTAGCAGGGAGGATGAGACAATTAGGGATATGAGCCCTGGGTGGGAGGAAGGCATCTTCCCTGTGGTCAGGGAAGGCCTTCCATACCTCCCTACTCCCTTACACACACCCAAAGACACACACACACACACACACACACACACACACATACACACAAACACTACTAATTCTCATGCAGGTGAAAGATGGTGTTAAAAATTTGGGTACGACAGGTGCCAGTCCAGCTGTGTGTATCCCTGGTCAGGTATGTGTGGGATCTCCTGACTGAGCTCCTTGCCCCATTCTAGGGCAGTTTCATATGGCTAGTGCTGCCTTGAACGCTACGCCTGCAGTGGCCCTGAGAGTTCAGGTTAGCTCTGTTTCCCCCCAAGATATTGGGAGCTCTCCCCAGTTCCAGATGCAGGACAGCATGACCCACACTGTCCTCGAATGTCAAAGCTGGAAGCGTCTGAGAAATCTTCCAGACCAGCCACTCTGTTTTCAGATTAAAAGACCAAGGCTCAGAGAAGCTAAAAGACTTTAGTTCATCAGGTACCTAACTAGCAGCAAAACTGGACCACAACAGCTTTCAGTGTGAGGGCTCTTAGGTGATCATTGCTACAGTGGCGAATGTTATTCTACCCCTGTCCTAGCTTTGGTCCCTTTCTGCCCCCATGGTTCCCCTTCTCTGAGGGCTGAGTCCAGACCCTCTCACCTGTTGCTACACTGCTACATCATCACTGCCAGCAGCCCATCCCCACCACCTGGCCAGACTGCCTGCTTCCCCTGCTCCCACTAAAGCTGCTACAACTGGACTCCTCAGCTCTTCTGGCAAACCGAAGGCGCTACCGGGAGCTGCCCTGGTCAGAGCAGCAGGTAATTCTCCCCATTTAACCTCAGAGCTCCCTCTCTCAATTTGTTCTACGTCCTTTACCCATCCCTCAGCCCTATTTGGCACCTTACCCCTAGTATTCCTTATAATGTGACTTGCTTTGCTTTCTCTTTCTCCCTCCTCCCCATTCTTCCATTTTTCTCTCTCAGAGAAGTGGGCATTTGGGTGAGTGGGAGGCTAGTGGGGCCCACAGAATGGAGAGGCAATACTGAGGCCAAAGACCCTTAGGTCCTCGGGCAGTATCTCTGCTGGGAAGCGGCTCCTCTTTCTTTCTCTTGTAGGCACAGTTTCTCTGGAAGAAGATGCAGGTGCCCACCAACCTGACCCTCAGGAATCTGCAGTGAGTAACTTCTGTTGAGCAGTGAGCTAAATTCAACTAACATTTTTGGGGTGCTTACCATGTGCCAGGCACCATGTGACATGCAGTAGTGGATACAGAGATGAGTGACACATGATCCCTGCCTTGTGCGTGTTCTCCTGGCTCCTCCCCTGGCCCTCCTGCCTTTCCACAGTGATACCTAATCCTGACTGGAGCTAAGGGACTCAGAGACCTGGGTTCAGGTCCCAGCCCTGTCATCTATTCATGCTCTAGGGCAAGTCAATTCATCTCTTTAAGCTTCAGTTTTCTCTTCCGTAGAATGAAAATTAAAATGGTACCTACCTCACAGGTAGTTATTGTGAATATTAAATGAGATAAGTCATATAAGGTGTTTAACACAGTGCCTGGTGCATTGTAAGCTCCCAATAGACATTTGCTATTATTAGTTTAATTCAAGGTGACTTCAGAGCCACTGGCCAAGCAAGAATAAATAAGAATATGTAGGTGTCACCTTACCTACACTCACAGTAAAAGAACCATGAGCTTCAGAATCTGAAGACATGGCTGTCATCTGAGTTTACCATGCTTCTAATAGAATGATGTTGAGAATGTCTCTTGAACTCTGTAAATTTTATTTCCTTCTCTGATAAACAGTGATGACGTTGTGGGGAGCCAATGAGAATATCTACATAAAAATATTTCTCAAACTGTAAATTGCCGTAAATGAACATCTGTACTTGTGCTGAGAGTGCTGGTATGAAAGTGCAGACAGGCTGTGGCATGTGTGGAATAAGCATCTACCCACTCACACACCCACAGGGCTCTGGGCACCCTGGCAGGGGGCATGTCCTGTGAGTTTCTGCAGCAGATCAACTCGATGGTAGACTTCCTTGAAGTGGTACACATGATATATCAACTGCCCACTGGGGTTCGAGGGAGCCTGGTGAGAAGGGGGTACTTGGGTGTCAGTAGGGGCAGGGAGGCTGGGACCCTGGGTACAGAACCTAGCTCCCATGCTCAGCTCTGTCCTGACCCTGCTTCCCCACCTCGTCTCACAGAGGGCCTGTATCTGGGCAGAGCTACAGCGGAGGATGGCAATGCCGGAGCCAGAGTTGACAACCCTGGGGCCAGAACTGAGTGGACTGGACACCAAGCTACTCCTGGACTTACCGTAAGTGCGACAGCTGGAGATACTGGATCAGATCCTCAGAAAGTTCAACTCGGGGTAGAAAATCTGCCCTTAGGAAATGCTGTAAGGTGGAGGTGGTTTTTCTTTCTGGTGGTTTCCGTCAGGGTGGTTCCCTGACATCATTTAGAATCCTTTGCCAAGAACAAAGGATTCTATTCAAAGTTGCTCTATGTATTGACTGGTTTCCAGAACATGTCCCCAGCGTGGAACAGCTGAGGGTGGCAACACTGTGTTGTGGCTTGCCAACTACCTTTAATATAACCTAGGCCACATGAATAGAGATACAGAATCTAAAGTGAGGGAAGCAATGGTCCAGTGTGTTCTCAGTGTGTTCAGAGGAGGAGATAAGAGAAAATATATGAATAATGTGATAAATGCCTTCAAATACCTGAAGGGCTATCAAGTAGAAATTAAATTGGCATATTTCTGAGTGGCCCCATTGGGCAAGGCTAGGATAGATGAATGAAAGTCAGATTTTTACACAATGTAAGGAAAATTGAGGCAATGAGTTCTTCCAGGTCACTCACTGGAGCTGTCCAAGCCTAAGACGAATGGCCCCATGGCAGAAATGTTGTAGAGCACATTCAAGTATGGGTTGTGGGGAGAGAAGATGATGAATACGAGCCTCCTCTCAACTCAGAGATTCTAGGGTTTCATCAGTATCTCACTCATAGGCTTCTTTTCCCATTTTACTCCCACCCTACGCTGTTGCCATCTGAACTGTAGGTCAGGGTAGGAAAAGGCTGGTGTGACAGTCTTCCTGGGGATGTGGTGATAAAAGCAACTGACTCCATTCTTACATTTTTATAGGCCTTTCCACAGATTTTGGCTCTTTTATAACTTGGCCCAGTTCCAGAATTGGCAACCCTGGATAGAATACAGGATGCCATTTCTGATTTCTGGGCAAAAAAGATTTTTGTTTTGTTTTGTTTTTGCTTTTGCTTTTTAATTGCCATTCAAATCTGTTTAAATAAATGGGTTCTCTGAGATAATTTAGAATCTCAAGGGCCTGAATGAGGTCGAAGATCCTGGGCCATGACTTGGAAAACTCATTTGTGAAAGAGGGATTAAAAAAATACCTATTTTACCTCCAGGTCTTGTCATAAGGATCAAATAAGATAACACCTGAAAGAACTTTGTAAATTGTAGAAGGGACCTCCTCACAATTAGTGGAAAGGTGGCCTTGTGGAAAGAACAGGAATTGGGAGTAAGACCCCACCATTTGATCTCTATGAGCCTCAGTTTTTCAATCTATAAAGTGGGGACATTTCTGTTGTACTTAATATTTGAGGCTTTTGAGTCCATTCAATCAGATTTGACTGTTTGTTATTTCTGTTCAGGAAGACTAGAAATATGTCACTCCCTTTGTTCTCGCCTTTCAAGTGCAATGGTGGGAACTGGCCCTGTGGCTGTTTAATGTCAGTTCCTGTTCAGGGTCACTGGGTTTTGTCTGGTGTTATGTCTTATCTGGGGAATGTGGGGTTCTGTGGTCTCTTCTCAACTTGGCTTAGTTCTGACTGAGTGCTTCTGTTGTCAAATTGCTATCATAGGGTCCAGCTGATGGACAGACTGACCAATGAATCCATTATGTTGGTGGTGGAGCTGGTACAAGGAGCTCCAGAGCAGCTACTGGCACTGACCCCGTTCCAGCAGGCAGCCCTGGCAGAGAGGGCACTACAAAACCTGGTAGGAGTCCACCCTACCAGATTCAGATCTGCTGCCCTGGGCAATTCTTGCCCCTCAGACAATGTTCTCTGTCTATCTTCTAGGCCCAACCCTCTACTTCTTTCTGCCAAACAGGTTTCTGTCTACAAGGCCCTAGCCCCTAGATCTGCCTCTGGGTTCTATTCCTTGATAACCTACTTCATGTTTCTTGTCCATACCCCTTGGACTCCAGGATATCCCTTGGAGTCCACCTCTCAGTCTTTCTGCCTATTCCCATCTGGGCTCATTGTTTAAGAAAGTGAACAAAGGCAGTGAGCATCGTAGGGTGCTGAGTTGAGAGCAGGAGCGCGGGGAGGTCAAGGGGCTTGGTATCTTGATCAGCACCTGGTACTCTGAGTCCGAGGTGCATTGTCCAAGGTCTGATGCCCCTTTCTAGGCTCCAAAGGAGACCCCAGTCTCAGGGCAAGTGCTAGAGACATTGGGCCCCTTGGTCGGATTCCTGGGGATAGAGAGCACACGACGGATCCCCCTACAGATCCTGCTGTCCCATCTCAGTCAGCTGCAGGGCTTCTGCCTGGGAGAGACGTTTGCCACAGAGCTGGGATGGCTGCTGGTGCAGGAGTCTGTTCTTGGGTATGGACCTTCAAGAACTTCAGATTCTAACTCATCCCACACCCAACCCCTCAACCACCCTCATCAGTGGCAGCCCGTTTCATATTCTTAAGGTCCCCAATCCTAGCATGTCCTCTTTCCGTCATCGTTTTCCTCACAGTCTAGCTCCCCAGCCCCTGATCTTCTTCTTGTCACCCAGGAAACCAGAGCTGTGGAGCCAGGATGAAGTGGAACAAGCAGGACGCCTAGTATTCACTCTGTCTACTGAGGCTATTTCCTTGATCCCTAGGGTGAGGTGAAGGAAGGAACAAAGGTGGGAGTAAATGCAAACAGGGAACTGGTGATCTGGCCAGGGACCTAAGGCCAAGGAGGTTGAGGGCAAAGGATGTGAAGCCTGGATCTGGGGAGACTTCTAAACAGAGACAGGACTTTGGAATTACAGCTGCAGCAGCTGGCCCTGATCCTGTCCAGGTCTCTCCACCCTCCTTCTACTTTCTTATGCAGGAGGCCTTGAGCCCAGAGACTCTGGAGCGGCTTCTAGAAAAGCAGCAGAGCTGGGAGCAGAGCAGAGTCGGACAACTGTGTGGGGAGCCACAGCTTGCTTCCAAGAAAGCAGCCCTGGTAGCTGGGATTGTGCGGCCAGCTGCAGAGGATCTTCCAGGTGAAACTACCCAAATACTCATATGTCCAGGAGGGAATATGGGACAGAGCATCGAATGATGCAGTTGTTGTGCCAGAAGTCTCATCTCTAAATTTGCACTGCCCTTTGAGCAGATTTGCACACTTTCTGCTCTCTGGACTTGAGTTTTCTAATCTATAAGGCCAAGAGGTTAGAACGAAGATCTTCAAGTCACTTCTAGTTCTAGGGTTCTATAGCTCTGGGAGTTTATAATCCATTGAGTATTTAGCCCAGAACTCCCATTTTCTCTTGTCTCTGTAAATAGCCGACTCAGCTCTAGGTTGGCTAAATGCGGAGCTCTCTGCTGGGGAGATCCCTACAAGGAAGAGACATTGTGGGGCTAAAGACCTGTATTCTAATCCAGCTCTACCCTTAAATCCCCAGGCAACATCCTCAGTCTTCCATCTATAAAATGAGGGACTTGTTCTCTCCAATCACTTTTTGTTTTAATATCTCTGAACCCTATAAACCTAACCCTGTAATAATCCTGTGACCCATACTGCCCACACTGTCCCATCCTCCAAAGATTGGAAGAGTCATTCCATCTATAGATATCTCTCAGGGACATTTTGATACTATGCTGACCCCCAGGCCCTGCTTTGTCCCTTCAGAACCTGTTCCAACTTGTGCGGATATTCGGGGGACATTCCCAGCAGCCTGGTCTGCAACCCAGATTGCAGAGATGGAGCTCTCAGACTTTGAGGACTGCCTGGCACTGTTTGCTGGAGACCCAGGACTTGGGCCTGAGGAGCTACGGGCAGCCATGGGCAAGGCAAAGCAGGTTAGGGATGGAGAGGTCAATTGGGGTAGGCCTTGAGGAAGGCGGTTGGGTGTGATATGGTACACAAGGGAAGACAGAGGTAGGTGAATGGTGCAGGAAACATGAGCTACAAGAGTTGGAAGGTGTGAATCACATGAAGGAGGTAGGGGGATAAATACTGAGGAAAGGGACCTAGTACAATGGATAGAAAGACTAAAGCCGTGGTTAACAAATTTTCATGTGTTATCAGAATCATCTGGGGAATAGGTTTTTAATGCTGATGCCAGGGTCCCATTGTTGAATAGCAATCTTTGGGAAGAAGTCTGGGGATCTGCATTTTAAGAGGTCCCTCAGTGAATCTGGTGTACATAAAAGTCTAGAACTCATGGACTAGAGTTTGCTCTTCTTTCCTACTGACTCTAGGATCTTTCAACACCTTAGTCAGAGAAATCATAATCCAACTCTCTTATTTTACAGTTGAGGAAACTAAAGAAAAGACAAGTAATTTGCCTAGAGCTATACAGCTAAGGTCAGAGGCAAGACTAAGACCCAGCATTCTGACTCCCAATCTTGTGCTTTTTCCATTCACATTGTTCTTCTCTTTCTCCTAGTTGTGGGGTCCGCCCCGGGGATTCCGTCCTGAGCAGATCTTGCAGCTGGGTAGGCTCTTAATAGGTCTGGGAGATCGGGAACTACAGGAGCTGGTCCTGGTGGACTGGGGAGTGCTGAGCACCCTGGGCCAGATAGATGGCTGGAACTCTGTCCAGGTAACACCTTCGCTTCTCCCTACCACTCTCCAAACATCCCACAGACCCGCTCCTTTAGGTCACCTACAGCCCAAGGAATTTTTTCCTGTGATGCTTCCTGGTCATTCTTTCTATCTTTTCTTAATATCCTATGCTAGTAACCTTAGGGACGCTGTGATTTATTCACTCTGAGGCCCTGGACACAAAATACTCTCTCCTGCCTCTTGTCCCTGAATCCTCCTCTTTTTTTCTCCTTTTCTTTTTTGGGTCCTCAACCTTCCCCATGGCTATTGGATCCTTAGGTGTTAATAATAACAGAATTTAATCTAGTAGCACCTATCATTCTCTAATCACTTCCCCATCCATTAATTCCCCGTAACTTCTCTCCTTATCCTGTGCCCCTTACCCCCCACCCCAGCTCCGGGCTGTGGTCTCCAGTTTCCTGCGACAGAGTGGTCGGCACGTGAGCCACCTGGACTTCATTCACCTGACAGCACTGGGTTACATGCTCTGTGGACTACGGCCAGAGGAGCTACAGCATATCAGCAGTTGGGAGTTTAGGTCATCTGTGAAGGGGGTGTGGGAGGTGGTACTGAGGTAAAAGTGGGCTTACTGGGCATGGGAGGGATCATGAAGGTGGTCTCATGGAGGAAGGGACCTCATTTGAAGCCATCTCTTCCCTTGTCTCATAACCACAGCCCTCATTTCTGAAGCTGAATTCTCTCTTCCTTCCCACCCTTCTACAGCCAGGCGGCTCTATTCCTGGGCAACCTGCATCTCCAGTGCTCTGAGGAACAACTGGAGGTTCTGGCTCAGCTCCTGGTGCTGCCTGGCGGCTTTGGCCCAGTCAGTAACTGGGGGCCTGAGATCTTCACTGAGATTGGCACAATAGCAGGTGGAAAGGCTGGGCCACTGCTGGTGCTAGGTGTCAGGGTGTGGTTTGCATACCATGGTTAGACTGGGTGGAGGACTGCCCTGGGATTCTTAAGGCAGGGGTCTGAGAAGAAGTTTAGGTAAGGGGCCGGAGATGTGTTGGGGAAGGTCTGTGGTAGTGTACTTTGGGAGCAGTTGGAGAAGGTCTACAGGTTTGAAGACAAGGGAGGTCAGCCTAAGACAATGTTTGGATGCCCACCCCACTTGTTTCAACAGCTGGGATCCCAGACCTGGCTCTTTCAGCACTGCTGCGGGGACAGATCCAGGGCCTTACCCCTCTTGCCATTTCTGTCATCCCTCCTCCTAAATTTGCTGTACGTATTGATGGACTGGGGTCTAGAGTGACCACAGGAGAGCCAGAGCCCAACAGGGACTACAGAGATGCACTGATTCCTGTCCCTGCCCCCAGGTGGTGTTCAGTCCCACCCAGCTATCCAGTCTCACCAGTGTTCAGGCTGTGGCTGTCACTCCTGAGCAAATGGCTTCTCTGAGTCCTGAGCAGCGACGAGCGGTAGCATGGGCCCAGCGTGAAGGGAAGGAGAGCCCAGAACACCAGGGTGAGTTTCCAGCTGCACAACTTGACCCTCCATCTCTTGACCCAGAACCTGACCCCTAAGTTGGTGCTATCTGGCTTTTAGAACCCACCCAGGGAGGTCCCTGGAATGAAGGCAGTCAACAGCCAGAGAGCTTCTTTCCAAGTATAAATGCTTCTTAGGAGCAGAGTTGTGATATTACTCCTATTCCCTGTCTCATTTTAGGTCGAAGCACAGCCTGGGGCCTCCAAAACTTGTCACAACCTTCCTGGGCCCTGGTATTAACCATCAGCTTCCTTGGCCACCTGCTATGAGCCTGTCTCTACAGTTGAGAGATATTGTTAAATCATTAAATCATAATGAATAAAGTGCAAGCAGAAATGCATCCTAATCATTCTCAGGAAGCTGATGAGGAGTATGGGTAAAATGCTAATGTTTCCCACCCACCTGAGAATCAGTGTTCCTGGCATGCCTTATCTGGAGTGTCTTCCCATCATAAATATCCCACTGCTTCTTTTCATTTCCTGGAGGCTGCTCCCTCCTCATCCCCACCATTAAAAATAACACAGACAGCTGGAGCACAGCAAGGAATCTTTACTAGGGTGGGGGTAGGGAGTTGGGGAGGGATGCATGGGGCAAGTAGAAAGGGCCACCATCAGAATGGGCGGAAGTCCTGGGGATCTTGAGCCATCTGCAGGGGAGGGGGAGTTAATGCTGCTTGTGGATGAGAGGCGCAGGGATGCGGATATCCTGGCCTCTCTCCAGACGCCGTTCACAGTCAATCAAATAGTTTACTCCATCGATGACCAGTTGTACCAGCTCCACCTGAAGGATACTAGTCCTTGATCTCTGTTTCCCACAATCTGACTTTTTCTTTAGCACTGATTGACTTGCCTGCTGTAGGAACTCATTTCCAATTGCCTCCCAACTCAACCTGAATTTTATTTCAGATTCTGTTACATTCCTGAGGCTCATTCACTGTCATATACCAACCCCCACAGACCTATACCTCTCCTCACATTAATCCCTTAGGATCTCACCTCTGACTTGCCCAGTCGGTCCAAATTAGAGATGTCAAAGATGCTGCCTGTGGCAGCAGTGTCCACTCCTCCAGTACCACGCTTTTGGAGTCTTAGGTTCTCCAGGATCTTTGGAAAGCGGCTATCCTAGAGGGGAGATAGGGATTGGGGGCAGGGCCAATAGAGGCAGAGACTGGTCCTACCTGAAAGATCCCTGAACCTGTTCAAAGCTCTATCCCCTCGCTCTTCAATATTTATTTATTTATTTATTTATTTATTTATTTATTTATTTATTTATTTATTTATTTATTTATTTTAGAGACAGGGGGCTTACCATGCTGCCCGGGCTGGTCTTTAACTCCTAGCCTCAAGCATTCCACCCGCCTCAGCCTTCCAAGTAGCTGGGATTACAGGCGTGAGCCACTACGCCTGGCTCTGACCTTTTAGCCACATGTTTGACTCCTTTCCAAAGGGCCCACGCCCTCCCCATCCACACGCCCCTTCCTCACTCACACCCCTGTCTACACCCCCACAACTCCTTTACTTTGCTTAGCAGGGGCAGTTTGATGTGCACTCCTGCCCGAAGTCCAGTGCCCAGGTTAGATGGACAGGTCAAGATGTATCCCAAGCGCTCATTCCACATGAACTCCCAGCCACGCTCTTGGATTAGCCGCTCCACCTGAGTCCACAAAGGTTCTGTTAGTGAAAAATCAGGGATATGTAGACCCTCCCTTTGCTAGACTCCCAGGAACTCTAGAAATATGTCTAGAACAGAAACTTGGGTGTGAATGAATGATACTATTCATTATCATTAACACATTATCATGCATGCATGTTGTAAAATTATGATGTAATTATTATGTACATAATGATAAGATTGTGGATAAATATCTTATGTATGGAAGCAAAGAAACTTGAGGGAGTAATGCACTAAAGATGATCTAGAGAAATGAACAGAGGTGGTAAACTGAACTGAGAAAGGACTGATCATTCAATGAATTCTGAATGCATTGATTCTCTCTCCCTTGCTAATGAGCCTAGAGCTTGGAAGGGTCTTTTCAGACAGAAAATGAGGGTATAAAATTTGTAATAGGAAGAGGCAAGACAGCCTTCTGTGAGCCACATAAGGAGCACATGTGAGAAAGCAGAAAGATCAAAACAGAGTAGAAAAGCCAGTTTCATAGGTGTGTGTGTGTGTGTGTTGGGGGCAGGGGCATGGGAAGGGTATTTTTGTTTCATTTAACCGTCCTAATCATGAAGATGACTATTAGAGTTAAAAAGACGAGAGTCCACCAGAGTGATGGACACAAAGAACATTCTCTTGAGTAAAGGGACCCTGTTTATAGTTCAGAAAGAACCATGGCACAGGGGCTATCGTACACACTGAATAGGGGAAACCTCTTCCATCTAGAATAATAATGCAGCTAACAATGTAATACTTATTGAGCACTTACTGTGGACCAAGTACTTTACCTGCATTATTTCACTTAATCCCCACAACAACCTAACACATAGAAAATCTTATTATCCTAATTTTCCAGATGAGAAAACTGAGGTATATAATTTAAATAGTACTTCCCTACCCACTCATAGAATATGTTACCTATTGCCCAAAAAAGTAGAAACTTCCCAGCTAGAGTCTAAAAGAGGAGCTCCCTTTCTTTGCATGTCCAAAATAGAACTGTATATGTGAGAACATACTGTAAAGATTGGGTTTATGGGGATTTCTAATGTGGAACTGAATATGGAGACCTGGTCCAGATAGGACTGAGGATTCAGTTCAACCCCTCATCTACAGCCATGTATTCTGGAACTTGAGCCATTCTATGTCTTCCCCAGTCTCCCTCCCACTCTCAGCTTAAAGCCTAGATGTGATACTTTAGCCAGAATGACAGAATCCAGGGTCAAGGCCTACCTTGGCTGAGAACTAGCTGATTACATTAGAATCATGAACACACCTATCTCTCATCCCCTACATCAATCCAAGCTGAAACAGTTTTTCTTATCTACACACCCCACCATCCCACAGCACACACTTCAGGCACTGACCTGCCACTCAGTTATTCCTTCTTTGCATTATCTGGCAACTGCCTTATTTAACTCCTTAGGTTCCCGACATTCTTTCTGTCTTCCTATTTTTAGGGTGACTTTATGTCCTGGTTTTTCCAGGACAGTCTTGGTTTATACCTATTGTCCTAGAGTGATTAATGGTGACTTTTTTACTATCAGAAGAGTCCTGGGTTGGTTGATAAATTATACCATCAATCTACCTATGCTACTTTTTGGTTTTCCTTACGCCCTCCCACTTAGCTCCCCTATATACTCTTCTCCAACCTCTTTGAGGCCTCGGCAGAATCTTTCGAACACTCTCTTCATGTTGCCACCCTTCTCCATGGAGATGACCCGTGTATGATCCTCCTCATTCACCCAGATCAAGAAGCTCTTCTCATTGTTGTGCCTGACAGGAGGAGAGAGGGTGGCACAGAGATCAAGAGGCAAGGCAAGAATTGGGGGAGATAGAGGGAAAAAAAGCATTTATGGGAGCATGAGGACAAAAGAGATAAGGAGTAGCTTTGTACCAGATTCCACGGGCATCTGGCCAGTCTCGAGCCATTCCTGCTGCAGTCAGCAATGGGGAGACAGGCTTATCAAATAGAAAGTGGTCCTGGGGAGAGTAAAGAGACTTTGGTTAAAGATCCTTATGGTAGCCTCTCAGGGGCCAGCTATCTCATCTGACCAGCCTCCCCTCTGGCTCTTTTTTCCATCTTCTCCCCCAACTCAGCTCCCTCTCAAAGCCCCTCACATCGATAAGCTGCTGCTGCTCAGCCTCTGTCATCTCACTGAGCCTATAGTAACGTCCAGCCAGGTCACCCTTCAGGCCACTCAGTGCATCCACCACAACACGTTCCACCTCTCGTCGCTCTGCCCGCGTGCAGGCTGGAGGCAGACTGAGTCCTCGGATACTTCGGCCAGTTCTGACTCTTGAGGATAATACATACCTCTCATCAAAGTAGCCAGAACGGATCTGGGGGATAAGAGAAAGGAATATAAGAAACACAGAAACACAAGTGGGCAGCAACTCAGGACCCTTGGGGAAGGAGAGACCTTAGGTATTAGAGGGCTCTTTGGGTATTCCTCCTGCATGCATTGGAGGGAGAGGTCCTTTAGGCAAACACTCCAATTGAAGGGGGTATTGTGGACCCTTCCTCAAACTGCCCACCTTGGGGCATGGTCATTTTCATCTATCTTCTCATCTCCATATATGGTGCTCCTTACGATATGATTCTTTCCCAGCATTAAGATTAAAAGCTCAGCAGTATAATGACCATGAGTCAGGAAATAATAAGGGGGAAGGGATTGGAGAGAGAGTGTTGTACACAGGCAATGCAAATCAGAGTGAAATATTTGACCCACCTTATTAGCATCCAGATCAGTGGTGTGTTTCATTGTCCGGGGATCATATCCATTGTGTCGCTCTTGGATCACAGGGTCAAATAGATCAGCGAATACCTGAGGGGGATTTAAGAGGGAGAGATGGTTAAGAAGAGGGAATCTCTTCTCAGACTTCAATTGTGAATTGACTTCACTGGATCAGAAAACTTGTGTATGGATGGCTCAGAGTCTTGAGGGAAAGTCAGGGGTCTTCAGGGGGAAGAAGCTGGGATTACTGGGAAGATGAGGTGGATCACCAGGGAGACTCTGGGGGTCCCCTACCTCATAGGTCTCCTCATCTCCAGCCACCATGCCCACAGTCTTGATGAAGGGGTGGCCAGGGTTGTCCACGCCAGTCTGGATACACTGATCTAGCGTCCAACCAGTGGGTGTGGTCTTGTCGCAGAGCCGTGCATAGACTGCTGGGGTCAGGTGACTGGCCATGCAGTTGTTGTGCTTTCGGAGGTCTGGGTACTCAGCGCTGGGGAGGGGGTACCCAGTAACCATGGAGGGAGGGCACAGGGGCCTAGACCTAGTGCAGTTGGTGGGCTGGGAGCTGTCCAGTTAGCCATGTCTGGCTTTGCTCCATGTGAGGAGGGAGAATCAGAAGGAGGCTAAGCCTTGGTAATCTCTTTAGAGACTTTCAGGGTCTATTCTTTCCTGACAGTTCTAGCTGCCTCTGGCTGGCCAGCTCAGTTCCCCCAGACCTGCTCAGTTCTTTCCTCCCATGAACACAACATTAGGGATGGAGGAGGGGAAAGACTAAGGAGGGGAATTCAGGAAATGGGGACGGATAGCAGGGAAAGGAGATGGAGGAGAGCAAAAAGGATCCCTGGCCTTACAATTAGGGATTTGGGCAGTGGGCATAGCTCGTGGGGCCAGAGCTGGTTTTGACAGGTCCACACTAATGCTCTCGCTTTATGGTTTTGCCCCCCACCCCCACCCCACTGAGGTTTCCAAATTGTACAGCCCCCCAGCTCCCGGGCTTTTGTGATTATAGCCCTTCTCTGTTGCCCAG